ATAAGGAAGTAAAAACACATTAAGCTTTTTGTGTATTTTACTAGTGCAAATCTACTATCACAAAGATTTTCAGCAAGGCTCTCAAAGCTTACCATTCATAGATGATTAGTCATGCTCTATACTGGTCTTTGATATCTGGAATGGGACTTCATTAATTTTCAGGCACTCTTAATGCACTGCATAAGGTCAGAGATTACTGGTTTCCCACAAATGAACTTTTATTCCTCCATTTAGAAGGATTTAATGGAAAGTAATATAAATGTTTCTACTTAAGAACTGCTCCTGCTGGTTCATGGAGCCTAGTGCTGATCCCAGACCACCACCTTCTGGAACTCTGCAGAATCACAGGACTGCCTTGGAGACTCCTCTCTGCAGGAGTCTGAAAGGACTGGAGACCAGGGGAGTGGTCAGAGGAGACGTCATTCACTGCACACTTGTCCCGCAGATTGCCAGACAACTGCCCGTAAGTGCCATCCAAACACTCATTACCTGGCTAGGAGAACCTTTAATCTAACCTGGAACAGACTTTTTTCCCCCCCCTTATATTATCTTGTAGAATAAACAATAACAGAATTGCTTAAAAATAAATACAAAACTGAGGATCTGCACAGAAATTCCTCCTTACCAGTGTAACACCACAAAAGCATCATGCCCCATCTCCAGCTCCCTGGTGTCACAGACAGGACAGACACAGACCTGTGTACCCAGGACAGACACACCAGACACACCATGACTCCCCTGACTCAGCAGGTCTCCAAACCCACGCCATCTACTCCACAGGCATATCTGACTCAAGCACCCTTGACAGGCTCATCAAACCAGCCTTACACTATGCCAGAAGCACTGAACGCAGCATTACATCTGGAATATCATGAGGAAGTTTTTGGAGGGTAACAAGAGAAAGCTAGAAGATGGTTAGGGTGATAAGCTCAGTGAGAGACTCCCCACTCCTTCTGAAGTGGGCACAACAATCAGTTTAGAAAAAATATTTAATTTGGTTTACTTAATTGTAATCAGATTATCCTTTGGTTAAACATAAACGAGTAACTGTTTAACAGTCCACAGAGAGGACTTTCAAGCGTATTGGCTCGTTAACAAAGTTGTTTCACAGGGTGCCACTGATATTCCAATAAATCACACTATAAGAGATGCCCTGATCCCATCAAAGTCGAGGGCAAAAAGTCATGTTGACTGAGCAGAGGACGTACTTGGCCTTAAAAAACAGGGAGCAAAGTAGAGTAGATCCTCACTCTGTTTTACATTCTATGGGGGTACCTCTAAGATACAGCTGTGCCTTTATTCTCCTTTCTCTAGTTACTGTTTATCTGCTGACATTTCAAGGGAGGTTTGGTTCACTTAAAGCATCTTAGATCAGTTCCCACCAGCAAGTACAACTGACTCCTGCCTGTTTAGTAGTCTGACTTCTCCACACGTCTGAGCTTGGTGCTAACCTTCCAAACAGAAGCAGATGGAGCTCAAAATCGTATGAAGAGTTAGTATTGTACTTTAAATAGTACATAGATTTGTATTTTAAAAGCTTAACAACCAAACTATTACTAGTGGATTTCAAATAGAAACTGTAAATGAAGATTGATGGTATCCCTCTGTCAATTTTGGCTTCTGTTCCCTGGATTGCATGCAATACTGAGGGTGTGAACATTCAAGCTTGTGATACATCCGTGAAGAAAGCAGGGAAGCACAATTTACAGCTGGGGCCGCTGCCTCTGCAGTGCTGGCTGCTGGCAGAGCGCCTTACAGACGGGGGCACTGCTGCTCCAAGCGCTTTGCAAGGGAAGAGGCTCATCCTTCCTCCAAAGCATTGGCTGTGTTATTTCGTCAAATGGAAGCAAAACCCTTGCTCACTTGCCAGTGTCCCCCGCAGGGGCAAGAGAAGAGACATCTCCAAGCTCAGTCTCTGCTCGTGATGGCAATGTGGGCCAGAGCAGGAGCTGGCAGCTGTAAGCACCCATGAGCTCTCAGCTTCTGCACTGTCGCCCTGCTCTGCACCCAGAGCAGTAAATAACACCGTAAATAACACTTACATAGCACTTGAATATATGTTTCACACTGTCTGTGGTTTCACCACAGCCTTTGTATTCACCTAATGAACAACAATTAGAAGGAGAAGAATTAGTTCATTCTACTCTACATACAGCAAAGTGCTGATGCAAATGTGGGCAAACAAACATGCAAAAGAATGCCTGTGTTTCTGATACTCTCTCTTCATCATTTTTCTGGACCACTAAAAAACTTTCCAAAAAAACAAACTACTTCTGACAGAATAAAAAGCCAGAAATACTTTGCTTAAATTACAGAATAGCATAAATTAACAATATCAAATATAGAATCTTTATCTGCTGCCTATACTAGCATCTAAGTATTTTTTGACTTTGTTATCCCTAACCAGAGCTGCTTTCATAGGCACTGCACTCAGGAGGCCATGAGGAATTTTGAGACAGTTATTTCTTCTAAACAGCAATACAGAAAGTCAGTGACTCAAGCCTCGCAAACCTCAGCTTTTTTGGGAGCATCTGAGCTGTGATATATCTACCATAGTTGAGGAACAGAATTGTCTTCACTTGGTGCTCAGACCTACAAGGTGTTTTGCTAAAACATTGGCCTCACTTCCCTTCTGATGGATGTAGAGGGGAGAAGAACAGCTCTCAAACACACAAGACCATGGCTTTCAGTGCACGACACCATGGCAGCTGTGGACACCCATCTCAGAGGAGATGCCTGGCTTTCAAGTAGCTGAAGGCAAGCTAACCCCCAGGCAAATGTGCACAGTGCTATAGGGAATACTGTGCCACACATGGGACACAGAAGGAACCAGCTACCAAGTTTCTCCTCCAAATTCCCTGGTTGCACACCTCAGTGTGCCTCATTCCCAGGCTAATGTACTGCAAGAGAGAGACTGAACCAGTAATCCTCAAAGCCACCGCCTTCATCTCAGGAGCAGAATGCAAGGACAGGGACTCAGTAAGAGCAAATGGGCAGGTACAACTATGAGTATGTCATTGGCTGAATTGGGTAGAGGAGGGTGGGCGATCCAGCAGCAGAGCCCTGGGTCAGAAATCCTGTGTACACAGAGGACAAAGGGCCTCTTGTCACATGCAGAAAGCAAAGGTCACTTTTGTGGTCTTTTAAGATCACTAGGGGTGACAATTTGCAGGTCAAAATTCCCAACCAGAGATATCCCAGTGCCTCCTCCATGAAGTCAGGAGCGGTGGCAGCTGTTTGAACAGAGTCAATGCATTAGACTAGACTAGACTGGACTTCACCTGCTGGTGCCACCCCTGGAGCCACCCTCCCACCAAGGAGATGCCAGTTAGGAGCTGACTGTCTGCATGAGTGATATTCTGCTCCCAGACTGCACAGACAGCACTTGTCATACGGTGGGTCCTTTCTCAGTATTAACAAGGTTGGCAAACTACAAACCAATCAGCAGTAGAGAAAAGAGAAACAGCCTGTCTCTGGATTCTCTGTCCTACCACATCATGCCTCTTCACAGTTAATCAGATCAGCAGATCACGCTGCCACATTCTGGAGAGTTTCAGCTCTGGTGTTTCATTTCAAGCTGTTGAGTCTGTGTTGCCTCCTGGACCATGTGATCCTTTCCCAAACACATAGTTTGAATTTATGTTCAGAAGGAGGTGCTTGGGATATGAATGGGCTCCAGATACATGGCATATCCACATGTAGGATATGTCTCTAGGATGTGCTGTAGTCATAGGAATTAGTCAAAACCGCAGTCAGTGCTGGTAATCTAGTGCTGTAGGTAAATTCCAACTCAGTACATTTATTACTATTTCTTTCACAGAAATAATGTAGCAAAAAGCAAAGCTCACCAGGGTCCCCTCCCCTTAAAGTTCAAGGTCTGAGTTCTCAAATTAGGAAGAGCCCTGATCAAAAATGAAGTGTAAAGACAGTCTGGCAGATACTGGGTTTTAAGTTATGGACCCTGGGTCTGACATCCCCTGTTATCACGATTTAAGCCAGCCCCATGCAGCCCATTGTGGGATGTGGGAGAGAATTGAAGGAGTAAAAGTGAATTAACTCATGGGTTGAGTTAGAGACAGTTTAATAGGGAAAGCAAAAGCTACATGCACAAGCGAAGCAAATCAAGGGGATTTATTCACCACTTTCCGTGGGCAGACAGGTTGTTCAGCCATCTCCAGGACAGCAGGGCTCCAACACACACAACTGTGACTTGGGAAGTCAAATGCCATCACCCTGAACATCCCCTCCTTCCTCCTCCAGCTTTATAGGCTGAGCATGCCAGCACATGGGCTGGGATACCCCTGCAGCCATTCCAGGGCAGCTGCCCTGGCTGTGTTCCCTCCCAGCTCCCTGCGAGCCCTCCCAGCCTCCTCGCTGCTGGGACACACTGAGGAGCAGAAAAGGCCTTGACACTGTGAGAGCACTGCTCAAGAAGAGCTTAAACATACCTGTTACCAACACAGCCAATCTCCCACCTCCCAGCCAATCCACACCTCAGCCCCATAGCACTGCCTTGAAGAAAATGAATTCTACCCAGCCCAAACCAGCACAGCCGTGCACCGTGTACGTGCTGCACTGTGCTGTTGTACAGTGTCCCCTTCAGCCGCAGCAGTTTGCTGTCAGTACTGTCCCTTCACCGTCCCTTAACTAACTGTAACTGAGCGGTACCGAACCGAGGCAGGAGGGCCTGTGAGCTGTGTTCTCCGCGCTGCGCTCGCCCCGCTGGTACCCGAAGGCCCCAGGGCCCGGCGGCTCTCCGGCGCAGGGGGGGCGGGCAGCGCGGGCCCGGCTGGGCCGCGGGCCCAGGAGAGGCTGGGCGAGCGCGGGCCCGGGGCTCTGCACATGCTCCGTGTGCCAGCCCGGCCGCTGGCGCTGCCCGCGCTGGGCTGCCCGAGCTGCGGCACCGCCGAGCCGCTCGCACGCTCTGGCACTCGCTGGAGACGTGGCATCTTTCAGCATCTCAGATAGGCTTCCAGGGGCATCTTTTTAAGAGAGTCCGTAAGAGAATATAATGTTTCCATCAGGCTCTTGCCTTGGCAACAACCTGCAGCCGCAAAGCGAGTTTAAGTCTCTGAGAGGAAGAGTGGTGACAGCTATCGTTTCGCTGTGTACTGTAATGTGTGAGATTCTACCCTGAGAACCCTGGAGGTGGCATTTGTCTGGTCTGGTTGTAAATAATGAGATAGATCACAATGGATTTCAGTTCCTCATCCGTGTTTGACCAGCACAAAGGTAAGTCACGTGCTACTAATTTCAAAATCCTCTGGTCCTCCAACGCGTCCCATGCAAATGTGCTATGGTCACTTCACAGAATCAATAACATTCATTTTTGGGAAAGATTAGGTTTATTTTGGTTTCATGTAAAGGAATCTCTTCCATCAGTGTTAGACTGGATGGATATTTCAGTCTACTGCTACAGTGATTTAAAAAAATTGATTTTCAGCAGAACAGCAACAGCATCTGGCTACTCTTATGGTTAGCACTGAGAGATGTATATATATATATTTATTTATTTATTTATTTATTTGTCTTTGTATTGTATATTGGTCTTTTTGTGGTTATAGATATTAAAAACAGTTGCAGCACTAGCAAACAGAGCAGTTTTAAATGGAGTAAAAAATTTAAGAACAGGTGGTTTTCGTAAGTCTACACTTACGAAAGGACTAGAAGCTGACAAGTGAAATACTTTGCTTTAGGAAATTTATCTGTATAAGTGAGTATTGCCATAATTGCAAATTTAAGAGATGACTAAAATACCCAACGTAAAGATTGTAAGGTTGCTATGGAAATATAAATGTCTCTTTCATGTCTATTTTGAAGTTAAATGTTAAATTTCATGTCTTTATTTGCCAATACAAGCTTTTATGTCTTATGGCTTAATCCACTACAGGTGTAATGACATTCCTTTTTTGTTCCCAAAGCAGGACACTGTCATTGCTTGATTATGCCTGTTACAATAAATTTCTAGGTTGGCTTACCAAAAAATACTTTGCTGTAGTGCAAAATATGTGTGCAGTGGCCACAGTTTCCAGTGCCAACCTGCAAAATATCTGAGCTGACGTGGCCACACTGGCCCCACAGCAAAGGGGCTGATGGTGGAACAAAAATGAAAGCAGGAGGAAGACAAGGCGCTGACTTTTGGGGAGCTGAGTGCTACAGGTTGTACTTCTATGCTTTCCTATACTACCCTGGTGAATCCAAAGTGAATACAGCCCACATAAAGCGGTGGGTTTATCACTGACCTTCAGCCACAGTAGCACTCAAAACCTGAGCAGTCTTGGGAGTACTGGTCTGTGTCAGCCCAGCTGGAATCCCCTTGTAGTGGGGGATGAGTGGGAAATAAAACTGAGTGACAAGAGAGAAAAATCTGTTACCAACAAGTATAAAGGGAAGTGCAGTGATAAAAGGGGGAGCTGTACTGCAGGAATAGAGACAGGTATTCCTAAATCACGTGTGAATGACCTAAGGAGCATTTTTCCCAACAGGACAGAGGTGTGGGGATGACTGAGCTTCTGCAGCCCCAGACAGCCATTCCAACCTCTGCTCCTGCAGCACTATGAGTGTCCTCTGTGCCACATGCCATCCCAGCAGGGCTCGGAGTGGGGAGGCAGAGGTAAAATCCTGCATGCTCAGTGCCATGGGATGGCTGCCAGGGAGCCAGTGGAAGTGGCACCAGGAATGAGGCTGGCATATCACCAAGGCTGGGGAAGGCAAAGCCAAGTCTCCAGATGTTTTAGGGGGCAGAAAGCAGTGCAGGAGACCTCGGACCCCAACCGGTTTATCCAGATAGAAGGGATAGAGCTGGGAGGCAGCATCTACCTATACTTCCCCTTGCTCCTAATCTGCACCCCCCCCGCCCCTGCTGCCAGGCCACCCTTCACACTGACCCATCCCAATTTCTGTCCAGAATCACCTGCAGCCTGTGTCACTCTCCACCCACATCAACTCCCCTGCCAGAAGGTCCCTTCACTATGCATTCATCGCCTCTGCTTCACCGGCGCTGCAGGAATGCTTGCTCATTAGGTGCTTTGTGATTTACTGCGTGCCTTCCCTGGTAGCTGCGTGGGAGGTGGATGGGAAGCAGGAGCACAAAACACACATTAATGGGATACTGAGCTCACTGGTTACTCTGCAAAGAATACTCTATTCAAAACTTAGAGTGTATAGTGGATTTTTTCCAAATACCTTCTTACTGTGTTGGCACATTATTGATTTAAGCAGGTATCATTTTTTTAGAAAGGAGGAGGGAAATGTCTTTTATTGCAGCAATTTACAACAATGGAAGAATACAAACTATTTTTCAAACACACTAAATTTCTCTCTGTTGGTCCAAAAAAATAATTCATCTCTCCACACAAACCCTTTTTTCTCCATCCCACACACCAGAAGACTCTCCCAACTATAAATAAAAACAAATCCCCTGTATTCCAAATTTGAAAATCATAACTGTCTCTTTGCAACTGTTTTGCTCAGTAATAGCTCAAAATACTTACAATAGTAACAGGAATGTGGGACTTAGAGAAGACAAACAGCACCAGAAACCCCTTCCCTCCTAATATTGCTAGGTGCTATTTAAATAAATGTCGGCTGTGCCTGATTTCAAATGTTTACTAAATAAACAGAGAAAGCAGACAAAAGCCTGTACTGATGCATGCACTGCCAGGCATGCACAGGGATTATTATTTTGTTAAGTGTTCAATAAAAATGCAGTAGTAGAGAGTAAGTTACACTTTTCAAAAACTGCCCCTCCCACTGACCCTGGACACTGATGTACTGAAAACCAATAAACTACACAGTATTATGTCCTAACAGCCAGGTGTAGGAAATCACATATGGCCTTTGGCTAGTGGAGGAGACAGGAGGAATTATGAGAGAGAGGGTAGTAAATTACATGCATAATTAGTTCTTTTTCACAATGAACGTGAATTATCCTATTATTCTGTCTTCAGTTTTTAATATCTTTGGTTTACTAAGTCCAAAATCAATGATTGTCATGTACGTGTGCGTGAGCATGTACACTAAGCTCCAGCAAATTTACATAGAACTTAAAAATCCAGTGCGCTGGAAAGCATGCACTTATGTACATCTCATGTGCACTTTGTAAAACAACAAATCAGCCAACATCACAAATCATGTAAAACATGCATTCTTCAAAGTACATCAGAGGAGAATTAAGAAAGAGAATTAAGATAATGAGAAGCACAATTTCACTGCTCTGAATACTGTAATAATTCTCTTTTTATATACCCCCTTTTTGATCAAAAGAAAACTACTTTGCCTTGAAGAAATTATACATTCTTAAAACACTGCAGGTTATTTCAGATAGATTGGTGTTTAACTTTGATTGTTTCTGAGGATTTTAACACCACCCTGTATGTCATTTAATCTTTTCTTCCAGACCTTTCGACACCACTACTGCCAGCCTGCAGTCTCTCCCTTGCCTTTTTCTATACACAAGCACTTAAATGGAAAAAAAATGGAATGGGAAAAAAAAAATGGAAAAGCACTTCTGCCTTTCTGAATCTGACTGACAGCTTCCTTTCACTAGTATCACAGCAATTCTCCAAAATGTAAAATGTATTTGAAATGGGACCGTACTTAGTGGCATTTCTTGGACTGCAACGTAGTAATGGAGTAACTCTAACACATTAGAAGGTGAAGAGTCAGGCATTTGGTTGTTCACAATCCCTTTCTGCCTCATGGAGCTTGTGACCCAGCCACAGCAAAGCCCCCAGCAGGGTAAGCTCACAGAGGGTGGGACACGGGCACTCAGTACTTCACTGTTGCCTTCTGCAAAATGCCCACTCTCTGAACCATTCCTCTTCTGCCCAGGAAGATGTCTTCAAAAATAAATGTTCTACTACCTTCGCCCCCTTACTTCTCCATTCCTTGACAGGGTGAGCTGGAGGAAGATTAAATGGTTGTGTTGTTCAGCTGGAGCCAAGTGCATCCAGCACAAATGACATCCAAGCTCTTCCAGCATTTTCTGCTCTCTGTCATGTGAAACGTCAGAGCACAATTTATCTGTCTTCCTTCTCACTCCCCATCCACAATCACACAAGTCAAGACACCCCACTAGTAGTTGGGTCGCCCCTACAGATACGGAATTCATGTCAGTCATCTTTATTCAGATCCCAGCATGAGTGCTTATCCTTTGCTCGTGGCCGAGGCTGACAGGAAGGGTGATAGCCTGCTCCACCTGCTTCTCCTTGCTCTGGCAGATTGGACTTGTGGTTGTGGAAGTGTAAATCTTTGTGGCTTCATGCCACCATCCAACTGGAATGGAGCCTGTGTTCTGCAAGAAAAGGCAGGGGCAAAACTTCATTAATTTTTCCATCCATCTATCCATCCATCCATCCATCCATCCATCCATCCATCCTTCTGTCCGTCCATCCACAGTTTTACTTCCCCTCCTTATACACAAGTAAAACAAGGATAATTGCTCTGGGGAAAGCAGACTGAGCGCAGCAGAAGCAAAGGGGAAGTGTCTTGGTTTTACCTAGAGGAAAAAGGGCAGAGATGTTCAGAGACCCACATGAAGGAGTGCACCCTTGTCCTCTTCTTCCTGCCATAGTGCCCTCCAGGTGAGCAACTGCTCTGCTTGGGAGATGGAGATTTCCCTTTTGTGGCTAGATTTCTCTGCTCCTGACTCACAACAGGAATACTTTACAATATGTGCAAGGCAAAAAAGGAGTAGAAAATTTACATGTGCAATGCACAATTATACCTCAAAGGAGGTGAGGACCCTTTGATTCACTGTCTGCCTCACTACATGTAGCAGTTTCTTTCCCAGTGCCAGCAGCATCTTCTCTGTACCACACCCACACAGCACCTGCACAGCTGTACACGACAGCAGACGTCAGAGGAGCCAAATCACTGCTCAGGGCTGGCACCCTCTGTGTACCTCCAGAAACTGGAGGACAAGAGGAGTAGCTCAAGCTATCAACCAGTCAGACCTGAACTTATCATTAACCTTTTTTGCTGAATGTACCGATTGTGAGAGGCATCTTCAGGTCTGATGTAATAAGGAAATATTACTAACTGAACCAGTGGTGAAGTCACTTCTTTTTCTTCATGTACTAGTCACTGATGATGACTCTTCAGCAGCAATGACTCCTCATCTCTCTGGATTTCCCAAGCCCACAGGACAAACCTCCTGAGCCAAACGAACAGTTGCCTCAGCAACAGACCCCCTCAACAGAATAAAAATCAAGTTAACATTTTTATTCACAAACTTTATGAAGTGTGTAATTTAAAGTACCAGTTAGAAGAAAGAAAATAAATTAGATTCTCTTTAGCTGAGGAGAAATGGAGAGGGAATCTGTGACAAAGGCAGATTAATACCAGCTTTTTAATTTTCCCAAGCCCACAGAGTTCCAGCTTTGACAAACTAACCCATTCCAGGGTAAGAGCAGATTGTGTTTCCATGGCAGCCAAATTTTGAAGTCCAGAGTACTGATTGCACCCAGTGAGAGAAGATCACGTGCAGAATTAGGCTAGGCTGTGAAGTCTAACGTAGAGCTCATGTAAGTTCATCTGAGACATCGTCTGATCACAACATGAATAGTGTGGCTAATACTTTGCAACAATATTTATAGGTCTTTTATCACTCAAAAAATGTAAATAGTCATACTATCTCCAGAAGTTTGACAGTACAGATAAGTCACCAGTCAATCTGTCTTTCCTTCGATCAACTCTGTAGTGTGATTTAGGCATTTTCTCCAGCTCACAAGGTTGTGGAGTGGCTGGACAAGTGATACGTTTTATAGCTCTGACCCTGTCCTGGTTTAGCCTGGAATAGAGTTGATTTTCTTCTTAGCAGCGAATACCGTGCTGTATTTTGCATTTAGTATGAGACTAATATTGAAAACAGAGTGCTGTTTTAGTTGTTCGTAGTTAGTGCTTGCCCTAAATCCAGTACATTTAATGTCCTCTGTACGTTAATGTACATTTAATGTGCTCTGCAGCAGTCGGTGCAGAGAGGCTGGGGGAGCATGCACTCTGCATGGAGTCGGTGCCAAGAGGCTGGGCTGACCCCACATGGCCAAAGGGATGTTCCATGCACAGAACAACATGGCCAGGATGTGAACTGGGGGGAGCTGCGGCATGACGGGCTGGGCATCAGTCAGCAGGTGGCAAGCAACTGTACTGTGCATCACTTGCCTTTCTTGGGTGTTATTCATCTCTTTCTCTCCTTCTATTACAATTATTAACGATGATGTTGTTGTTCTGGTGGTGGTGATGATGATGATGATGTGTTATTTCAATTATTAAACTGTTCTTACCTTAACCCAACAGCTTTACCATTTTCTGATTCTCCTTTCCACCCCTCAGGGGTCAGGGCAGTGATGTTAAACCCCAACAGACCCTCAGCCATGGTGAACAGTACAGCTCACTATGGCTGTACTTATTTTTGAGTTAATAGGTATAAGAAACATGCGACTGTTTCTGACCAGCAATACATATCTAGAGCATTTTACCATTACATCAGATTTGACCCCGCACCCAAAAATCTACTCTTTTGACTCCAAGAGTTAAAAGGTTAGTAATCCTCTTGAAGGCAAAGGAGGTGCACACCTGTGGAGCATGACATGACAAGTCTGAAAAGAAGTGAAAAGGAAAGAAGCAAAGAGAATCTTACTTCTTTAGAAAGAAAAGCCTGAGGAATGTTCCAGAACAGGTTCTGCAAAGCATCTGCTTCAAATAATAACTCACACTGTAGCTGCCAAACAAAATAAACCTCTCCTGGGTTCCAAGCAATAGTCCACTTTTCCTTTTTGCAGGAATTATCAACACAAACCATTGCTGCCAGAAGTTTACTCTCCCGAGAAGAGAATTCCGTTGGACATTGCAGGGAAGTGAAAAGCCTCAGTCTTCTGACTGGTACAAGGATAACACTGAAATTGAAAACACCTGAGTCCTGATTTCCTCCTATCTCATAAAAGTGCAGCCAGAAATATTACGAGCTAGTTCAGTTATTACATTTTTTCTCAAGTCATGTTATGTTAGTATGATTTCTTACAAGAAGTGGAAACTTTCCAGAATTTTTCATAAGTCCTTTCAGTGTCTATGTTTGAAAGTTTTTGGAATAAGTTATGATGAAAAGCAATTTTCAGATGACTAACAAAAACCACAGTGCTGTTTAGATACACTTTGTTCCACCCCAAGTTGCACAGTCATTTAAACTCAGTGAGACAAGTGTCGTTATTTTTCCTGTTTATCATTTGTACTTGCTCTCTGTTTGCTCATGGCTGTGCTCCTTGACTGCAGCTGATGCAGCAGAAGAGATGGACTTGGCTGTGGTTTACCAAGCGGCAGCTAACGGCGATGTGAACACCCTGACTGCAGTGATCCGAGAGGATCCTTCCATCCTGGAGTCTTGTGACAGAGAGGGTAAATGAAGGCCGAGCTTGTTCTCAGGAGATCTGTTGCTTCAGCTTGCAAATTAAACTTTCCATTTTTTTACTCTGATGTTTTAGTTCAGGAAATTATATTTAGTAGCAGAATATGGGAAATTTGAGTTATTCTTTGGAACATCCACTGGAAATGCACAGTTTGGATAATTCTTTCCCCCTATAATTGTAAGATATTTTCACATGATTACAAATAAGCTGTTTTTCTATAATTAGACCGTACTTTACCATTTATTTAGTTTATCTTGTTTAGGGGTATGCTGAGAAACTGCTGACATTTCAGGGGAGGAAAAAAAAAAATATTACCAATGCAAAATGACATACATTCTGGACATCTCTAAAGCAAATGTTATAGTATGTGTAAAGTCACAGTTTGAGTGGTTTTGTCAAGTAATTTTTTTGCCAAAGGATACAATGTGCAATTATCTAAATGATCCGTTTTATCTGTCAGGCTGTGCTCATTTTGTGTTCAAGTTACTATTTAATGTTATTACAAATTATTGTACATTGGCTGGGTTTCATATGCATCTGTTTCCGAAGTGAGTAAGAACCACAGACTTCTGGAAGCTGTTCTCAAGGCCAACTTTTTTTTGTCAGAAGTATTTTTTTTGATTGCATTTTCTTATAAAGGGTCCATATGAGCACTGTCTTTTCTAACAGCTTTTACCAAGCTACCAATTTTTCATATACTCTAAGCCAGGCATTATTACTGATATCTTTAAAACATCCACTGGTTAGTAGAGAAAATTTACTTAAGTGGTCCCTGTCCACTCGTTAATGGGAGAAAGACTAGGTGTGAGTGGTGGGTGGAGTAGGAGGAGATGGACTGGCCAGGAGTGCTTCAGCACTGGAGCTAACTTGTCTCCTAGGCTCTCCATGCAAATGTAACTAAAGAGCAGTATTTCAGCACAAAACATACAGCTCATATCCTGCACATTTTTTAGGCTCTACGTGACCTCAGGTTGAGTAGCACATTTCCTCAGCAATCTCATTGAGTCCAGTAAGAATAATTATTCTTCAACTATAGATGAAGTTTCTAGTAGTCTTATAGTTTCTAATACTTATGTTTAATCCCAGCCTAGTAACTTTAAAATGCTTTGTTAGATTCTGCAGGAAAATCTCCTGCTGTTTTTCAACTGTTAACAGAATGGAAGGAAGAGGAAGCAATTAAATGGTACAATACTTCATGAAGAAATTTGATTATTAGGTTTAAATGGAGATTTCAGGGGTTTTTCAAAACAGAAAAGTTTTGCAGCATATTAAAAAACTTCTTATAAAAACACAGGAAATAAGATATCCTAGAGCAAATCCAGACTTCAAATTAAGTTGTTCTCTGCATAAAGGGCCAACTCACACTTTTATACCTTTGCATGGGACACAGCTTGATTTCGTAAGTCTTTTGAATATACAGACATAATGAAGCTGGGTTTTGAGAAAATTAGACAGGCACCATCTGGTTACTAGTCAGTCTGAAGGATATTAGCCTCCAAAATGGTGTACAAAGCCAAAAGTTAATTTTGGGAACTTATCAACAGAAAAGCACTTTTCCCTCCAGAAGCAGAGTTAGTGAGGCAAAACTTTTGGTAATATAGTCATGCTCTTTTTAAAATCAGTGGTCAGAGACTGTCATAGAAGTTACTTCCTGACTAAAAAAAGCTGAGTACCACTATTGGACAGTTGTCAGAGAAAGGATTTGTTAGCTTGCCAGTGTTAAGATCAGAAAATAAGAAGCTATATCTTATAGACATGACACAACAAATGGTAAAATTAATTTGGCTTTCTTCCCCAGGTTGCACACCTTTGATGCATGCTGTGTCAGGACGCCAGGTTGACACAGTGAAGCTTCTGTTGAAGATGGGAGCTAATATTAATACTCAAGATGCTTGTGGACGTACCAGTTTATCTCTGGCAACTTATTTGGTACCAAGACTTGGGGGACAAGGATGGAGTGAAGGGAGTAAATGTACAAACCAAATAAGATTTCTGCTTATACTACAGGAAGGAAAAAAAAAAGCACAAAACATTTGGTTCTAGACAACAATGGAATTGGTTTTGAAACTTTACCACAATACAAAGCTGAGCAATGATTATTACAAGAGGATCAGGACTCCTGTCAGACACTCCTGTCAGAGTGTCCTTTCTCTTTTGACTTATAAAATAAATGCATGATATGAGGATCTCACAAGAAAATCGCGCTTTTTTGTACACTGAAAGTTTCCTCTTGTTCTTATTAGGCAGATTGACTTCTCCCCCTTGCATAGCCAGCATTAGATATTTATTAAGCTCTAGTTTGAGACAGGAGGGCTTTCCTGTCTCAAACTCTGGTGATCAGCAGGCAACTGTTACTGCACACTTGATGAACAAGGGCATTGCTTCTTTTCACTGTGGTGCTGGACTCTGGGTGGCCAGGTTGAGGACTGAAGTTCTAGGTGCTGCAGGTGCTGGTTTGCTCAGATCACAAACAAACCAATCCCCTGATCAACCCACATCCAAGTGACAGGAGGGGGCACACATCCCACTGAGACATTTGGGAGAGGAATTGTACTTCAGAATCTGTCTGAAGCAGCAAGGATAGTCCTTTTCTCCTTAGTCTTCTACTCCTTGCAGCAGGTAATTCAGAATTCAGAGAGAAAGTGGGGACCAAGTTAGCCCAGCAGACAGGGCTTCCATTATTAATTGGACAAAAAGGAAGAAGGGGTGTGCATCCATGGCTGCGCATTATGAGTTAAGCTGGATGACTGCCAGCTCATTTAAACAGACACCGTGGCAGCCTAATTAAATGACATCCCTTGCACGTAGTTTCTTCCTGAAAATTCAAGACAAAAACAATGTTCCTGCTTAGCTATGCAATATTCAGCCAGAAAATAAGTGTAGAAAATAACAAAACAGACAGTCTCATCCAGTGGAAGGAGCATGCCCCACTTAGTTGACAATAAACATTTCCTCTGCTTGATATTTTAAAAAAATCCCATAATAAGTGTCACACTTCTTTTTTCCTTCCTCTTTTCCCGGAGGGGAAAAAATATTCTTTGGAAAAAAAGAAATGACTGGAAAAGATTTGAACCACCCAGGCTTCTAAGTTTCCATTTCTGTTTCTGTGAGGGATATAACAAGAGGTCCGGAGAGAATTCTGCTGTGATGTCTGTCCAGACAAATGAATTCAGGAGAGTTGCACAGTCAAGACTGCGTGTGGCATTTGGTGGTCTTGTACTTCCACCAAGAGCTCCAACAGGAGTGTTCTGATTCCACCATTCCACACATTTCCCCCAGCAATGCTCGTAATGCCAATCCAAAATAGCTCATATGAGAGGGAATGGTCTTTGTCAATGGTCCGTGGTTTTAACAAAACACTTAAACTCATGCTTGATTTTCATCAGACTTAAGTATATGCTGAAAGATTTATGCAGTCACAGTCACAACCAGACTGTTTACTTGTTTTTATGTTGAGGTGATCAATAGAAGGTTTTAGTCCAAGAACTGATTCATCCCATCTGTTTTGGTGCTATTTTCAGTCTAACACTGCCACTAGTACAAACTTCTGCAACAACACTTATAAAACCACACTCTAAGGCTTTTTACCATTGATTTGCCGTCCTTGCTAAAATCTCACAAACAAAATCAGATTGAGTGCTCATGTTCTTTGTTTAATCTAGCATGATTGAATTCACATGCAAGAATATGTGTAGCATCTGCTAATGATACAGGAATTAGCAGGTTTTTAATCACTGTTAGTGCTTGCCAAAGATGCAGGGGGAAGAGAAACAAACAAAACAAAAAACAAACAAAAAAAAACTACAGTGTAAATTAAACACCTCATCTGAGACATTAATAACTGAGGTAGTTTGAGGCCCAGACTCCAAAGGGGAGCTACTTTCAGTGCTGAGAAACCTCTAATTTTTTTTTGAGGAAAAAAATTCCAGTTTCTCTGCAGACAGAAGTGGCTACAGTCACATGTGAATGCCAGGACCAGCAAGAAAAGATCTGGCCTTATACTTTTCACTTTCCTCTGTGATATGCTCCAATTTCTTTTTTAGGGCTGGCTGGAAGGCTGTGTCAGCCTGCTCAGGAATGGTGCTAAGCAGAACATACCTGACAAGAACGGGAGGTTGCCACTACACGCTGCCACCGCAGAGCCTGACGTCAGGTATGTGCCTGGCTCCCCAGGGAGAACCCACAGCAGGAATAACAGTTGTGACAGCTACACTTGTGACCTGTGTCTTTGTTTAGTCGTTACCATGAAGGGTAGAGAGGTGAAAAACATTGTGCAATACTTGTGTACCAGAGATCGATGGCTGGGTAAAGAGGAGCCTGTTTTAGTATTGTGATAGCTGGAGGAGGGAAAATAATTAGAAGGGAGATTGAAACCCTACGTTTCCCCTGCCCAACTACCTTTCTGTCCTACCACATGAGATATTACAAGACTCCTTCTCTGGACTTCTCCTCTGAGTAGCATGGCAAATGTGAGAAAAGTTTTCCACAAGACAACCTCTCTGAAAATCCCCAGCCATAAAGGGGAAGTTAAGGACTGGTGGTCTGGCTCGTTTTTAACTCTTTTACTGAAGGTAGAGTAACAGCTACAGAGTGTCTTCACAAGAACTCTTAAGAAATATTCTCTTTTTCTGATTCCAGCCTGTGACAATAGTACAATTTAATAAATTTTGGTTTGTATAGCTAAATAAACTTACTCAAAAAATTCCCCTAAGTAAATCATGCCTGAAGGTACAGAAAGGCATTAGAAACAGGTTAAACATTCAGTACATGCAATTCATGTGACATAGTCACTGAGTCCATGATTTTGTTGCTGTAATCATATCAGACCAGGCCAGACATCTGGTCATTTCTGCTGATCTTGTTCTCCAGCCTTTTTTAACAGCTTTATTCATTTTCCGTATTATCTTTGCTTTTCATGCATCACTTGGAGAGAATAATTTGAGATTCCTGCAGAAAAAAGGTCCCTATCATTAAACAAAGCCAACACAAGAAAAAATAAAATGTTTGTACAACACCACACGTGTTGCCACTTTAAAGGGAACACTAATCTCCTCTGCCAGGAGCACACTGGGTCCCCTGAATGTTTTTCACATTCTCCAAGGATACAGACCCTTCTTTGCTCTGCACAGTTTTCCTTTTCCTCTGTCTTCCCCATGGGTTTGCCCCGTGCCCAGACACAGGCCTGGAGCACTGGGCAGAGGTTTTTCCATCATGGTCATTGTCAGTCCCTTGTCATCCTGTGTCACTGCCAAAAGAGAATATGCAATGGCCACTTTTGAAATCCTTTTGCAGCTAAATTTGAAAGCTAGCAGTCCACTGCTACAACCTCACGTGCTAGAGGCAGCTTGGAAAGACAGAGACTGTTCATGTATTGATTTGATAATTTATTTATGTGCTCCAGTGCACTCCACAGAGCCTAACAGGCAAGGTGGAAAGATAATTCATTCCTGATCTATGCCTTTAAGAGTAGATAGCAGAGAAACCTCAGCTGCTTGGTTGGGTATCTACATATTTAAATGTAGCACTTAGGTTGCCATAATGGTGTAACTGAGTCAAAGTTTGTTCATGACAAACATTCTAGTCAAATAATTAGATTTCTTTCACATATAGTGGTGTCGTTGATCATATCAGGAGCTGAACCACAGAGCCCTGTATCAGATTATAAAACTATGTGATAAATGGGTTTTACAAGAATACTATGGTTATCTTACTTTGTTTTTCCTCTCTAGTTGATATTTACCAAGACCTATTGTCAGACACGGAATTTCTGAGATTCTCATTAATTTTCTTAATGACAACAGAATCTTTCTTCACTTTTACAAACTTCTACCAAGCCAATCACAACAATCATAGTGTCATCCTTTTCAGATTTCCTACAGTATGACTCCATTTAGAAACAGAGGTGTGACACCTCTTTTCTACCAGAATTGGTATCCACACACAAATGGATTTGAAGTCAGAGCAAAATCCCTATGGTGGGATCTGCCCAATCATCACCCTTTAGGGACTCTACTTTAAAAAAGTCTTAAATTTGGACTTTCAACACCTGAGGAAGATGTTACCTGTAGATAAGATTTTCACCTGCAGAATTGTCAAAATCATCCCTAAGCAACTGTAATTTACATAGCTAGTTCTTTATTACCAGTAGGGAAGAACAAATTTGATATGAAACGTTAATTTGATGCACACACCTGAGCACAGTTCAACCCAGAAGATACACTAGAAGTGGTTGAAGATAAAAAGCAGCAAAAGATTTTTATTCAATCTCTTCTGCATAGGAATAAATGCAGGATTTTATACATTTGTTTCTGCGTTATCTTTACATTTATCAAATTTCTTTACTTTATACTTCATTATTTTTTACTGTCCTTGCTAAACAGTATGTCTTCTTCATCTCCATGTTCTGAAGGTTTCTACCAAATTCACACCTTCAGATGAGCCACAGGTTTGCACAATGATCCACTGAGGATACATCCTTCATTTTGCTATAATCCTAAGAACTGTACATTCATATTGGGATTGGCTTTGCTACAGCATGTGAATGGATGGAGTTTTTAATTTTCATGGTCCAGCCATGTACATGATCCAAACAATTAGTATCCTGCTATAAAACACAACCAGCTTTGCTGAACCTATAGTGATTTTAGAACATCTTCACAAGATAGCAAAAGGATAAGAAGATGTTAAAAATATTATTGTACTTGAATAATATTTCATGTAACTACTTCATTGTTCCCTCCACTAGACACGAGTGCTTGTAGTCCAATATTCTATAAAATGTGAACCTATGCATTGCTATGTTCTATGCCATAATACAATATTATTAAAATGTAAATTTCTAAGCTACCAAAAGCTGCACACACGTACAGTGTTATACATTCTGATTGTAGCCCAGCAGTCAGCATAAGAGTTATTCTGAGTGGATCTTCTTTTAATTCCAAGCTCTGAAGTTTTGTTGTTACTGTAAGTCATAAAGTCCAATTTGTTTTGCTCATATGACAAAGCTCAGATCTAAGATTCTGACCTGTGCCCGTCACTAATACTGATTTTTCATGAAATTGCACGTTTTGTTTTTAAAAAACTGTCAGTTTTTCAAGTTTAGTCAGGCATACAGCACACTGATTATATCGTTGCTTCCACAGGCTTCTGAGCTTGCTTCTGCAGCAGTCAAATCTTAGTGAAATTAATCACCAGGACAATGAGGTGAGTGAGCTTGTGCTACAAGTCACAGTCCCTGGCACTGAAGGCATGGAAGCCATTCAATTTTACAATAAGGCTAAGTCAAAAATTTCTATAATGCTTTTAATAAACTCTGCAAAGTATTATCTCATTCTTCCTTCTATGTACGATGCACCTGTAGGCTAATAAAGCTTCTCTCTATTGAGCCAGCTATGAGGTACCTTGAATCCGCTTCTTAAATTATTTGCCAAGACAAGAATTGCCCTTGATTGTTCTGAAGTTGGACACTGGACCAAGTCTTCACTTTTACCAATCATAAGTGTTCAAGACCAGGCTGGGTAGAGCTTGGAGCAACCTGGTCTAGTGGAAGGTGTCTCTGCCTATGGCAGAATCCTTTGTACAGCCACATGGCTCCAGCCAGATAATATTTAAGATCCCTTCCAGCCCAAGCCATTCTATGATTCAATGATTCCTTGATCCCACCATTCAATTCCTATTCTCAGGAAAAGTATTGGAGAGCTGGCATTACACAGAACAGTCATGGAAGCACAAAAATTTGTGCTGTTGTCTTCCATGTGGAATTGTGTCCTGCATGTATATATGTTGTACATAGGAAAGAGTTAACTTCCCACATGTTTTTCTCCAAATAGAGAAGCCGAGACACATAAGAGATTCTGAGTGTCTTTTCCTATGTTTCTGTTCATTTTTTAACAGTTGCTAAAGGATGTGTCTCTTTTCCACAGTGTCAGAATGGCCAGAGGGCTGTATATTTTTCCTCTTTCTCACCCACTGAAAGGTTTGCAGACCCTGCTCACAACACTCTAAACCAGACACATGTATTGTCTCGATGTAGAACTATGTTACTAATGAATTGCGTGAAATGGTGGATCATCATTTCAAGCCATAATATTTTGCTGGAATGCACTGCTACATGCAATTTGGAGCTTCTAGTTCATCTCATTGTTATTTGGCACTGACAATATATTTGTTCAAGTGTCAGTACTAAGCCCTGAATACTCATGTTTTCTGAAAATTGTGTATCCTAATAAATGATTACAGCTAACAGAGCTGTTCTCTTGGCATAAGTAAACACTTCAATTTTCCCACTCGATGCTTGAGAAAATCACCCTGATGAATGCATGAACACGTAAACAGTAAGAAATACATCTGGAGGTTTCATAGCTTCCACAACCGTGTCTTTCTGTGGGTTTATTAGTGAAGCCTGTGAGACGACAATGCAAAGAAACAATCCCTGTAAAAGCCTTGAATCTGAGCAAAACAAGTGTCACACTATATTTCTCAGAGCCATTTCTTGGGGTTTGTCCTTTTATGTCCCATATTGCTCCTCAGTTTTTGTGAATGTGCAATTGTTTGCCTGTCTCACCTCTAAGATTGTTTTCTGCTGGACCTTCAGCTTTGGCAGTTCTGATACCACTTATGTTTCCACTTAAGAACAGCAGTCTGTTTACCTACAGATGCCACTCCAGGGTGGTAGCACAAAGCACAAAGCACAAAGCAGTTGCCCGCTGCAGAAAGCCCACACGAGTGAGCTGCTGTGACAAACAGCTCAATGCTCTTTGCTCAGCTGGGTGCTCCAAAAGGACACGTGGAATGTACAAAGTATTAGAAAGGAAACGGAGAAGAAAACAGGAAGCTCTGTTTGAATCCTTTGTACAGCCACATGGCTACTAAAGTAAACTGAAAAAATATATACAAGAAAAGGAACAGAAAAAGGACTACAAAGATGATAATAGTTATAGAGCAGCTTCCTTACATGGGCAGGCTGACTAGAGCAAACTAACTGTAACAGGACTCTCACCTTGGCAACTACATCAAAGGGATGATATAAACCTGTGGTATCATAAATGGTGTGGAAATGAAAAGAAATTTTTTTATTAATTGTTCTGGGGGTTTTGCATATAAAAATATGGGGGCTTCTACAAAAATTATCAGGCAATAGTTTCAAAGAAAATTAAAATAAAGACTTTTTCAGAAAATGCGTCGTTACCTTTTAGCAGGTTGGATATCATATGAAGTCTTTAATCTGATTACCAAAATATTAGGTGGCAGTATATTGTCAAGCCTTGTTTCTTATATTTTTGCACTAAGCATATGCTATTGGCCTCTCTGAGTTTTGTCGTTTTATTATAGAGATTTTTGAAAACTATCCACAGTTTTACACTCTTATGTTACAACTGATTCTGCTGGCTACCACAGTAGAAACGGAGAGAAAGTTGATTTTTCAAGGATTTTTTTTTTGGCCATATCAACACACTGAGAGAGGATGACAGAAAGACAGCCTGGTACACTGTAGTGTTTCCTTCTTCAGTGATTTTCATGCTCTCCAGGACCAGTGGCTAGTACTCATTTCCCAGCTGGAAATCACTTCAGTGATGCCTCACAGATAATGTGTGTCCGTCAACAGTACTAGGTCCCTCATGTTTACTGACATCAATGGCAGAGATCCCATTAATTTCAGTTGGTGCAAGAGTTTACCCTCAGTTTTGGTTTTACAAAACCGAACCCCCCATGATTAATCTTTGCAAACACTAAGTAAAACCAAAACTCTCATTCAACTGCTCTGTTTTGTTATCACCCATTCTTAAACCACATGGGAACTGAAAAGTCTTACAAGATATGGGATGAGTGAGAGAAATGAATACTGAGGCATTCAGGCTTTTAGTCAGAAAATCACTGCAAACAGCTTCCATTTTAACACACTGATAAGCTCTCTGCATCGGTATAGCTCATACTTTAGCTGGGTTGTTACCAACTGGCTTTATTGGGTTCTAGTTCAAGTTTTAAATTGCTTTTCCACTCAACCTTTTTTTTATTTTTAATGCTTTTTATCCTTTTGGAAATCAGGCAAGACCCTTGAAATACGTGTTTTTCTGGTAAGAGAGAAAACAGAACCTACCCAAAGGAAAATGTTACCACACCTAAGAACACTAGAAATTTGTTAGAAACATAATAAATTAGTCAATTTATACAGAAAATCTTAATTAGTATGGATATAGAGAAAAATGCATGTGAGTGTAACAATGCTGAAGGTACAAATATAGGTCATGAATTCTCTGATCTCTTAAAACTGACTGGATGTAGCTAAGATGGAATGAAAATGCAGCTGAATACCTTACCATTTGCTTTGTTTTCTCCCTGACAAGTAAATATAAAGTGTTTATATTGTGACTTTTTTGTGGGCATCACTCTGTCAGTTCTTTAGCTTGCTGACTAGTACCAGCTGCAGTAATAGCTTATAATATTTATTTTGGATCAAAGATAAGACCAAACACAAACATCATGCTGTGTAATGCTGAAGCACCAGTCTAATCCAGGCTTTTCTTGCAGGATTCAAGCTGAGCAGTGAGGAACTGTCCCACCAGCCATCATGGCCCTGACCACATGTTATTTATAACAGGCTATAGGCACATATGGAGGAAGCATTTGTATTTGTATCCATTTTCTGTAATAATTCCAAAAAGCTAATTGGTTCCCCCTTGTGACTCCACTAATTCAGAAGCTGCTACTATTTCAAATCAAGGTGAAGAGGGAAGAATTTGTCCACCCTGGATGGTTTCAGGGCTGCGTAGCTTATCTACAGAGCCTTGAAGGGTGCTCCTTTGAGTGACAATAATTTGCCCTCTGGGTTTGTGGCTTGCAGGGAATGACTTCACTCCACTGGGCTGCGTTTCACAACAGACCTCAGCACACCCAGACTCTGCTGCACAAGGGAGCAGACCCGACTCTGGTGGACAAGGACTTCAAAACAGCTCTGCACTGGGCAGTACAGGTGAGCCACAGCACAGCCCCAGAGGGATGCTTATTGAACTGGGTTGGCTATTGTGGTGTCCTAAATACTCCTAAAAAAGTAGTTTGGGCTGTGCAACACAGAAATTGGATGCCAAAAATGCCCACTAAGCCCCAGTGTTTTGCCAATGGGTATAGATCAGGGACCTAGCCTCTTCTTTGGAGACCAAGTCATACCTAATAGAGGCTTAGCCCTGTTACCCCAAAGTTTTTGTTTATCTCAGTGGGATTACATGTATGCTTCATCTTAAACTTGTGCCTATTTTTTTTTTTTTTCACTAAATCAGGGTTGCAGAAACTAGAAGCTTACTTGCCAAAGGCCTGTGGGAATAAAATGGCATAAACACAAGTTAAAACACATTTAAAGAGCTAGAGCTATGAAAGAATTATCTGAAGGGTTGAGGCCCTACTTCTCTGGAGACTGGAGAAGACATGGAGCTAAACACATTTCCTGTTGAGCTGTATGTTTCTGTCTCATGTGCAAAAGAGCATTGTCAAATACTCAGGCCATCATTAGAGAAACAAACCATACAGGTTTAATATGATATTACAAACTGTATTATGTAATTGTGTTAGTGAGTGATATAAAATACAGCATAATTTAATGGTTTTCCTGGTTTACTGCAGAAAACTGCCCAGATGAAATTGTATGTTTTCACATGCTCTCATACCATAGCAAGTTCCAGTATCAATGTTCAAAACACATTGATACTGGACAACAGATAAGCCAAAATAGAACTCACACAGAAATCCACAAAAATCTTTTCGTACAATTACCAAATATTTGCATTCTCATCTTTTGGTCTAAGTTTGCTCTTCTTAAAAGAAGTCAACAAGGAAATTTGAAATTCTGAACTGCCATATACTGTATTTATTACGGGGTAATACATCTGAACAAATAGTCTGTTTTCTTCAACCACAGCCTCACAAAGATGATTAGCATATAATAGGCCTAATTTTTTTTTTTCTGAAGTAGAGGTATATTTTGACCTCTGCAACTGGTATTATTTCAAAAGTTTTGTTCTTCTTCAATCCTAATCAGTATTAAATTGGACTTGTTATTTGCCTTAGAAGATTATAGGTATCTACTCTACTGCCTGTTGTGCATTTTCACCAGGCTTATTCCAGTTCTGGCTGCTTCCAGTGGGAAACATCTGAATCTCATGCAAACTCCTGCATGATAGCCAGTGGTCTGTATCATAGCTCTGGGAACAAACTGTCTGACAAACAGGAAGACAAAAGTGAATCCACTTTATAACCTTCAGAGTTCCCCTCCTTCTTTAAGCTTTCCCTGATTCTGTATTTTGTATGTTTCATTATTTAATTCCGCTGTTAACTCTCACCTCCACCCTTCTCTCAAATGTGCAGACAAAGTCTTGAGAAATAGGGAAATGGAAACTACACAAAACCCACTTGGCCCCAGGTGGAAGGAACTCACAAATGCCCTCTTTTCCTTTAAGCTGCTCCCGGAAATCAAGAGGAAGTGTGCAGAATGACACACACACACTCTCCTTTTCCCTTATTGTGACATTTCTGCCATGAAACCCTTTAAATTGCTTCTTCCATCCACATGCTTCTCCACATTCTAGGTCCACAAGTGGCAGTTGAAATACCAGAGCATGAAATAGATCTGTTCACATTTCTCTTACTCTAATAAGAACACTCTTGGCCAAGAAAACAACAACTTGCAGCCAGTGCTGCCCATTTAGGCCCAGGAGATTTGTATACTGTGGACAGGCACAACTTTCTCTGCTGTGACAGAGAAGAGAACAACAGCTCTGCTGAATGGGATCATCATTATGTGTAATAGCCTCCTCTGTGACTGCTGGAAAGAAGGTATTTTTCCTTTAAGGATTGTATAAATATCTTCAGAGAACAAGAGACTCACAGAGCTCAGGCAGTACAGCTGCAGGGGTTATTTTTGGCTGAATAGGGCCCTGTGTTTAATTTCTTTTTTTTTTTTTAATGCAGTGAGGGGAAGACCAGACACTGCACAGAAACTTGTTTCAGAAGTTGCAGGAAAGAGGCAGTTTGTTCACACTGGGCTGAAACACACAGGAGGACCATATGAAAATCATTGCCCACCATTCAAACCCAAATTCATGGGCATGAGGCATATTTCATATGAAATCATTGTTCTGTGCTGACTCTTTCAAAGACTGCATGTTTGTGACTTTGTCTTCCTTCAGGCATCATGGGATGATGAGTCCCATCCATGTAACCAGACAGACCTTGCCCACACCAAGGTCTGCTCTTTTGAGAAGCTCAGATCTCCTGCCATTCAAGTTCACATCTTAAGTGCAAGTGTATCAGTGTCCAAAACACAGATCATTACTGTTTGGTGTGAGAGTATCATGCCACATTTTTTTACGCATGCAGAATTTCTATGTGCTGGTACAGACAGGCCTATTAAAAGTGTCTCAGGAGGTATTTCTCTCCTTTCACTTCAGCCAGCATTAATTACTGTAGTGAAAAGGAAACACACCTTTGAAATACAAAACTGTTAATTGATACATGGACAAAGGGTAAAGCCATTCTAACAATTCTACATAACAGTGTTATTGAAATCCTGGTCAAATATAATATATACCATACAGCATGCACTCTGATGCTACACAGTTCTGTACTCTAACAGTATTAGTAGTACCTTGGAAACAGCCTGGGAAGATTTGGAATCTTGCTGCATTGCCTTGCCAGTTGTCATCATTTTTACCAGAATTTTCTTTGTCTCATTCTCAAAGTCTCTGACTCCCAAAGTCATGTGATTATGTGAAAATATCAGCTTTCTGCTAAAGGATAAACAAAAAAAACCAGATTTTTTTTTTAAGTGAAGAAATACAAAGGAATAAAAAGAATGTAACTAGAAAGAAGCTATTAAAAATAACAATCTGCCATGGAGAGATGTGCTTATGATTTTTTTATAGGCTGATTTGGAGTGTAAAGTTTTAAAAAATTATAAGCCAGTGTATTTTTCCACAGCAACAATGCAGTTGTTTCATTCCTCTGTTTCCAGAGAAGAGAGTGAAATACCTGTATATATAAAACCCACTGTAAAAGAAATGCATAAGTAAGTATTAATTTGTGTTTGGCTGACATTGCAGTTTCTCTGTAATTGTTTGGAAGGTGAAAGCACACTTAAATGCCAGGATCTCTAGGAAAGAATGTCTCTGTTGCTGCAGGACATCTCAAGGACACAGCTGGCTATCCAGCCAGAGAAGAGGAGGGGGCCAGTGGTGGCTCAGAATGTCTCCCAAGGGATCACTTCTCTCCTTCTCTCTGCCCAGCACCCCATTTTTTCATGTGGGCTACATACAGTGTAAGAGTTCATAGACACTTCCAAAGACAACTTAAAACCCAGTGAGTGTTTCTCTACTGCAGATATGTCAGTTGTTGGACTGACCAGAAAAGGTGCCTTTGCTGGGCATGGTTCACTGTCCAGTTGGTTTCAGGCAGATTTCTTTCCCTGCAAAGTTGTACTTAATTTCTCCTTGTTTCATGCAATTTTCTAAAGATGGCTTGAAAGGAAGAATAGTGATTTCCTTTTTTATGTCACTAAGCTTTAAAGACAATTTTGACTGTTAACAAACAAGTCGAAAAGATATTAAATTTTCATTTTTTTAAAATATACACTTTTAAAATCACTTTCTTTTGTAAATATTGTCATTCCAGCAATGGTACAACTCTTGCTTGGGGAGCCTGGAACATTAAATAGCAGCAGGGATCTACAGAGTGAGCTGTCAAGTTGCAAAACAAGATAGAAGAAAATTTGCAAATAATTTTGAGTAAGAAATAAACTTGCTTTAATGCCAGCAGAAGCTTTTTCCGTAAACTGCCCTAAATATTTGTGACACTGTCTGCAACAGTGAATTAAATGTGCTTAAGTCTTGGCTCTGGCACTGAGGCAAACTATCATGGGACAACCTGTGTCCCTACTGCTGTACTCTCTTATCCAAACAGGATGATCATACACAGACCACCTACTGGGAATGATCTGGCACCCATATTAGCTCCAGGAACTGGTAGGGAAAATACTAGTTTGACCCAGGCCTAAACCATGCCAGGGAGGATTTTAAGAATTATTTGGTACAGACAACTACATTCCAGTGCTGAAGGATGTTCCTGAGTGCTACTTCATTTTTTTGTGTAGCTGCAACTATTTCTTCATTTAATTTGTCACAGAATAAGCTGAGTTGGAAGAGACTCACAAGGATCATTGAGTCCAGCTCCTAGCCCTGCACAGTTCACCACAAGAGTCACATCATGTGCCTGAGAGCATTGTCCAAACTCTTCTTGAACTCTGTCTGGCTTCGTGCCGTGACCACTTCCCTGGGGAGCCTGTTCCAGTGCCCAAAAACCCACTGGGTGAAGAAACTTTTCCTGATATCCAACATAAACCTCCCAACACAGCTTCAGGCCATTTCCTTGGGTCATGTCACTGATCACCACAGAAAAGAGAGGCCAGTCTGCCCCTCCTCTTCCCCTCACAAGGAGGTTATAACTGCAGTGAGGTGTGTCCTCAGTCTCCTCCAGGCTGAACAGACAGGTGACCTCAGCTGCCCCTCATACGGCTTCCTAGAAGTCCATTCACCATCTTTGTTGCCTTCCTTTGGATGCTCTCTAATAGTTTAATAACTTGATTATACTGTGGCACCCAGAAGTGCCCCCAGCACTTGAGGTCAGGCCGCCCCAGCTCAGAGCAGAGCAGGACAATCCCCTCCCTTGCCCGGCTGGCCATGCTGTCCCTGATCCCCCCAGGACACGCTTGGCCCTCCTGGCTACCAGGGCACTGCTGGCTCATGTTCAACTTGCCATGGACCAGAAGCCCAGGGCCCTTTCCATGGCACTGCTGCCCAGCCTCTCATTCCCCAGTCTGTCTGTACATCCAGGGCTGCCCCATCCCAGGCTCATAATTCAGCACTTTCCTTTGTTGAACTCTGTATGGTTGATGATTGCCTCCTATCTCTCTAATTTTAATCAAGGTCT